TCCTGAATACTGTGCTCTACGCTCTTCTGTTCAATAATTTGAGCTGATGCCTCTGCCAAGAAAGCTGCTTCTTTTATCATTGTTATATGGTCTATGGACTGGGATATATATACATGTGTGTGTATTCCAGTATATATGCATATACATACTAAGTTTTAGTAAATACCACAAACAGACCCCTTTGATTCCCATTCTACTTGCCTGAAATATTATAAAAACAAAACTGCCACTCAGAGGTTCACATTTTTGGCCCACTTCAGTAGTACATTAAATATGGGTGGTCACCAGAAACTTGCACATACCTAGAGTGGTCAGACATATAAGCTTATCACACTGTGTTCTCGCAATGTAATGAGTACGTGATGAGAACGGAACGGAATGTATTTTATCACATGGTATAATCCTTATCAAGTTCCATTCAGTGCTCTGATAGTCCCTAGCCCGTTCCAGGAGGAGAACTATAAAAATGCGTCCTTAGCCAAAAGAACGCTTTCAGACCGTTCCAGATGATATGTGTGCGATAATCCTACCCGGTCTCAATCTGTCCTTGTGTTCTGATTGACTAAAACAACCTCCTCCCCTCCCGTCCTAGAACATCCACAAACTCAACTCAACTCTTCCGATGTTGACACAAGGAAGGTGCCATAGGTAATTTAATTTTTGTTTTATTTTTGTAGATTGAGTTGTGTCATGTTTACGAGAAAAAACAATGAATGCTCGCTACCTAAACCTCTCGGTAGCATTCTTTCCAATACAGACATAGGGGTTTTCACAACAGTGAGCATGCGCCAATGAGGGACAGCTGAGGAACTATTTTAGCACCGGTACTGATACAACAGTGCGATAATATGTGTTCTCATAACATTACTATTACATTATCAATAGTCTAATGTGGTAACACCCGTTCCCATATCGTTATGTTCCAGGGAGTCGATGCGATAAGCTTATAAGATTGGGGAGCACAACTGAAGTCCAATGCAAGGTCAAGGATAATAATCAAAACCTATTACTATCTTATTAAAACAGCAACAATAAAATTGACAGCAACAAAATTTCTCATTTTCCTTTACAGGAAACAATTACATTGTTGTTGAGAAGTTTTCACATGTCTAACCAGAATGTTAAATTATTGCACATTACTTATTTTGCTAAAAGTACTAAAATAATTACATAATTCAGGAGTTGTTTTAAAATATTATTATTATAGAGAGATCTTAAAAGAACAATCTTTTCTTTAAATAATCTTTTGGGTTTCTTTTAAAATCTTCCCTATATACCTCTCTGCATGTGTATGTGTGTGTACATATACATATACAAATACATACATACACATATACACATACCAGCAGATGATAACACTTCTGTATCTCTTGGAATAAACTCTAGTCTACACAGAATTTGAGTTAAAATAAATCAATTGATCCTTATTACAACAGGCATGTTCAGAACTAACTAAAGAAAAGTTAGACACTGAGAATAGCATGAGAGAAGGCATGAAAAGGAAGAGAAGCAGAGGTTACAAAAGAAATAACTTTAAAAATACATGTTTTAAAAACAAGAAATAAAAAAGAGAAAACTGAACAGAAAGCAACTGTGAAAGATAAGAAACACACATGATTTTTAGCAAACTGATTTTGAAGCTGAAAGAACTTTAGAAAACAGTTTGTGATAAGGACAAGGCCCTTTACTATTCACAGCCAAGACACAAAAATTCCACTGAGCTAATGAGATCCCCTTGTGTGAATATAAGAACTCTCCCAAGTCTAAAAATCTTCCCACACAAGCTGGAAGAAGGAAATCAGAAGATATTGCAATTGCTGTTATCACTACTTTTAATCCTTCTATTTTCTTTTCATTTTCTTTGTAGTATTTTATCATATGAAAATTCCCCTTCCCCTTCAGTGTTTGAGAAAGACTTAATGGTAGTTTTACACATCCATCATCTCTGAGAAGTGACAAGCTGCAAGGTTTACTTGGAAACAAGTTCCAAGTGTTTACTTACTCTTTTGGAATGATATCACTGGAGGCTTACTAACATTTTGTTGTTGTTGTTGTTGTTGTTGTTGTTGTGTGCTTTCAAGTTGTTTCCGACTTTTGGCGACTATAAGGCAAATTTATCATGGGGTTTTCTTGGCAAGAATTTGTTCAGAGGGAGTTTGCCTGTGTCTAGTCTGAAGCTGAGAGTGTAAAGTCTCCCAGTGGGTTTCTGTGCTCGAGTGAGGATTTGAATTCTGTTCTTTAGAGTCCAATGCTCAAAACTATACACACGCTGGATACTTGCATTATTTACAAATATACAGGTTAAGCACAGGAAAGAAACGTCTTAAATACTCCCAACAGGCAGTAATGTTTCCTGGAGAAATCCAGCACATACTATTGCTTCCACCACCCAATCTGTATTTTGTCCCCTGCCCCTAAAAGGTACAGTCTATTGTTCATTTTTCTCAGAGACTCCTTATCCTCTCCGCCTGGGTAGAGAGATGAATTCTGAATGAATACTCTTTTCTAATAATCATTTAGCATTCTTAGAGCCTATGGAGAAATACCACCAAAACTTCCTTTGTCAAGTCCAGGTATTGCCTTAAGACAACCCACAGACCCTATCCACATCTGAGATAGGAAATCTATGCCAGCATATTTTTGCAGTATATATTAAATGCACACTTATGTAAACCTGTGGCATGAAAAATATGGTCAGTATTCTGTATCAGCTGCTTTAGTTAAATATACTTAAGTATAACTTAACTAAGCAACATAAGTACCGGTAACACACTTAACAGTAACTTCTGGCCCAATTCCCCCCAACCTGGCAGAAATATCATTCACACATGTTCCGACCACTGGCAGAATGGATACTTAACTAAGGGGCTATGCAGAAGGGAAGGAAAGGGCAGAAATAATCCAGTTTGAGACTACTTTAACTGGAATCCTGGGAATTGTAGTTTATTGTGGCACCAGAGTTCTCTGACAAAGGCTAAAAGTCTCACAAAACTACAGTTCCCAGAATTCCCTAGCATTGAGCCAGGGCTGCTAAAGCAATCTCAAACTGGATTATTTCTGCGGTGTGTTTTGGACCTAAGTAACCAATACAGAACACTGGCCTATAATATTAATTCTCTTGCTACTTTATGTACATTTAATAAAGATTAAAGATACTCCTTAAAGGAATCTTTCAGACTTTCAAAATACTTTTCAGATAATGTAGTACTGAAAACAATGTAATGTACATTCAGATGATGTAATGCACAAAACAAAATATTTAAAGATAAAATAATACATTAGTATGATGAAAAGAAAGTGCAGGAAATGAAACTAATAAAGGATGAAATGCTAGGTCAATCTTCAGAACATACTTGGAATGATGAAACTTACTGTAAACATATCTCTTCTAAGTACTAAGCCAAACAAGAATTCTGACCTCCCAGAAATTGAGTTTCCGTTATCTGTTTTAAATCCATCTATGATTCTAGAGAAATATTTGTAGGCCTTTCAAGGATATGAGGCAGTTAATTTTATATACAGAGAGAGAGAGAGAGAGAAAATACAATTTTTTTTTAACTGTATAATGAGCAGAATAAATAGATTAAAATGCAGTATTCTGTAATCCATTTAGAATTGCATAGAGCATGTAGAACAAAGATATATTCAATAAATTAAATTAATACACCGGAATCTATTTTAGAGTATGAAATTATCATTATGATTCTATAATGATTAACTATACATATTCATATACAGTGGGACCTTCATATCCACTTGGGGTTGGTTTCAGGAATCCCCATGGATACAAAATAAATGGCAAAATCAAGAGTAGTTTTTTTGTGGGCAATATTAAATATTTTAAAGCCCTGGATGGCTGAGTCCTTGGATGTAAAATCTGTGAACATGGAGGGCCAAATGTAGTTAAATCAGCTCAATAAACTATCTTAGCTCAGCCACCAGAGGAAAGAGACATAACTGCATATCTTTACCAAAATCAAGTCTATGATAAGAATTCCAGATATTCATATTCATATTTGATTTTAATAGGTATTTTCATTAGTACACTGATCTCGTAGGAGGGGTGTTTTACAGCTACACTTACATGAGCAAAATTAAAGTTGGTAGTGCAAGTATAAATCTTAGTAGCATTTGCACTTGCTGTGCAAGAAATAACAGTCATTAACCTATCTCCCAATCCATATGTAGCCATCATTTGACGTACAGTATTTAGAAAGACTAGAGAAGTTGTAAAAAAGAAACATCACTAAACCCTAATAAACAAAATGAGAGCTGACTAGGCAAAGAAGTTAACAATGTATTTTATGTGCCACAGCTTTAGTTGTATTGTCTATATTAAGCCAACAATATCCTCTGTGTTTAATACACCATTAAACCTTCTTCAAGTATGAGATCACTGAGGTTGATCAGCAAGTTACTATACTTAGTACAACTGGAAGTTCTCAAGTTACAAGTCTGTTAGATGTTGTAGTCTGAGAATTGCAAGATATTTGATATTCCTCAGCAAATGTTATTAGGTCTCCACAACAGTGCACTAGTCAAAAATCTCTATAATTGCCAAATTCATCCATCCTGAAGTTCAAGTGCATATAATAAACATTATTCTTTAAAGGCCACATTATTTGGATACAATATTTTCTTGTAAGAAAAATTCCAATTAAAAGACTTTTGCAAATCAGCCAACTGTGGTGATAGCCAACACATCCAAGAAGAAATCATTTTTAATATTCTGTAAAAATTACAAAGAGTCATGTGGCAACTTTTAAGGCTAACAAATTTTATTGGGTATGAACTTTCATGAACTCCAACCCATTTCACCAGATGTATGGAGTTTTGCCTAAATTGACAGACAGACAGACAGACAGACAGACATGTACTGTATGTATGTTTCCTTGATTGTTTGGGGAATGGGGGATGACTAAAACACAAAAGGTATAAATATTGATTAATATCTTAACACCAGACATTATTTAAAAAAATAGCCAGTTGGTAAATTGGGAGCCAGTATGGTGTAGTGGTTTGAACATCAGACTATGATTCTGAAGATCAGAGTTTGAATCCACACTGGGCTAGGTAAACCCATTGGTGACCTTGGGCAAATGACACTCTCTCAGCCTCAGAGGAAGGCAAGAACAAATCTCCTCTGGACAAATTCTGCCAAGAAAACCCTATGCTAGGGATGCCTTAGGGTCACCATAAATAAGAAATGACTTGAAGCCACACAACAACACCAGAATTGGCATCCTAATATAGATAAGCATATTATCACATGTATTGTGATGAGATGCCTAGCCTATTCAAGTTACAACATGGATAATAATCAATTGTACTAGGAAAAATAGAAATTTAAAACACAGAGATAATGAAAATTGCCTGAATAGTGGCCATTGATAATCTCCCAAGACATTATGAGGCTCTGTTGTTTTTCTGCAACACACTAACAAGGCTAGCATGGGGGGCGGGGGGGGGGAGACACAGAATACAAAACCTAAATTTCATTATTTTTACAGTCTTCTTTCTAATTCTATGAGTTCCACCATTTACACCATGTATGACTAATTTCAACAATTGTGCTCCTACGGAACAATGGTTTCTTTGAAGATCAGAGATAGAAGAGATACTACAGTTATAGGTCAAGATGTTCAAGACTCCACAGTGGGTTTGCTCTAAATATGACAGATCTAACACTTAATGCTTATGGAATAGAACAAATTGTTAGGCCCAAGGATGGAATATCAAATTATACAAATAATGTGACAAAAGGGATTCTGTGTTATAAGGAGCATCTCTGGAATGAAACAATGAACTAATGCCTACGGTGAATAGCAGACATGCAAAAAAGCAAGTGTGTCCTGTCATGAAGTCTACAATTGTCCACAAAGGCTCATGCTGTAATAAATTTGTTGCTCTTCAAAAGTGCAATAGGACCCCATTGTTGTTTTAGCAAGAGCCACTTATAGTAACAGGTATACAGAAGACAACACACAGCATAAACACAACAGTGGCAGGTGCTACCTGCAATATAAAATACAACAACATCCACAACCCACAAAATAGTGATACCGTTCTTGGGCCAAACAAAATGTATAAAAAGTATTTTGCACAAAATTTCGGTTGGCCCAAAAAAAGTATTGCTGTTTTGTGGATTTTGTAAGTTATTGTACTTTGCCACATGGCTGACACAGCTACCCCTGGATATAAAATAGGACAGTGAATAAAATCTGAGGTTTAAGGTTATTAAATCATAGAACATAAGGAACAAAAAATAGTGCAAAAAGAAAATGAAAAAAGAAAAGAAAGATTTTCTTTTCTGAACTGGGAACAGAAGTTGAATTTCAGGCTGGGAACGTTATCATTAATACATATTGTGGGATACAACAGACTTTGAAAGAAGCCAGGCCTAAAAAAAAAAAGAAGAAGAAGAAGCCAGGCCTGCAAAAAATGGACTGCATAACAATTCTCCCCATCAATAAGGGGCAAAATTGGAGAATATGGATGCTGAATTATATTAAACCATGTAAGGACAACACTTGGAACTAGTGTTCATGGAAACAAAAAAGCTAATATCTACAGTGTGAGGGTAGAGGCAGGATTTAGCAGATAATAATGAGGATAGCTATCCAGTCTGGAGGAAGCAGACGATGAGAGATGATGTATATCACATTTAGCTAGTTAAATGAGAATGTGGCAAATAATGCACAAAGTAAAGACGAGATTAACATTTTAGCCCATCTAGATATCCACTGAAGAGCCTGAGATGGGAACAGGAAATCACACTAACAGTGAAAGTTAACAGTGCTGAGTACTCCTAAACAGAGCGATGGATACCAGGAACAGATTTCAGCGATGCTGCAATCCTGTGCACATTTGCATTTCTTCTACTCTGGAGAAACACAACTTACTTTAGAGTTAACAAGTACATGACTTTACTGTTGCAGCAAGATTAAAGCCAAAGAGTCTTGTAGCATCTTAAACAAGATTACTGTGCCATAACCTCTCCAGGTCTAGTTGCCTCTTCATTATCTGATGCCTGGGGCCAATTAATATTTTTCCTACCTGAAACAATTAACAAGATGTTCCCCAGGCCAACTACATGTACAGAAGTCAACTAAAATGACCACTGAATTGGATCTTCCACCACAACTATGAGCAGCAGGCTAGTCTGGGGTGAAGGACAGGAGAAATGGTTAGGGGACTAAAGAATTTGTCTTCCTCTGATGAAGCAGGCCAGATCTACCCACCGTGAAAACCACACAAAGCACATCTTCTTGGTCTTTACATTTAGAAAAGATCCCAGGTGTTGTCTAGAGGCCACAGTCCCCCCCACTTTCCAAAACGTTGAATCGATAGCAAAGGGAATGGCAACACATGGCATTTGGTCCCGTTGGTGATGGCATACGTTTATAACAATGAAACTTCTGACTGGTGGTTCCTCAGGAGCATTGCCTGCACAGGAGTTTGGGTGGTCTTGATCGGTGATGCCTGGTCCTTTGGGGGGAGGATCAGCTCTCCAAGCGTAGCCTGGGGATTTGTACTCCTGTTCTGTGGCCCATCTCCTCTACAAATGGCATCACTAGGGTTGACTTTACCTGGTGTGCTAACTCATGGTGTCATACACACCCCATTGACCTCCTCCGACTACCACACCAAACAGAATCCTTAGTCATGTTTTTAGTACTAGTGTTAACTCATAAAATTGTAATTCCCATATATCACTGAATGTCATAGTAACAGGTGTTACACAAACAATCACCAAATTTTAAATTATAGCTTTCAATTACAAAATCATACACATACCCTAAATGCGTTCACTTGTACATACTTTCATGTCGCTAAAGTGAACATTTAGTAAAAGGTGATGTTTTAAGAAAAATTTTAAAAGAATTTTTTTAAAAAATAAAATAAAATATATATATTTTTAAAAACTGAATTTTTACATTTTATTTATTTAAAAGCCTGGGGCTTCTTCTTTCTCTCTCCCCCCCCGAACCAAACCTCACTGACACCAACATTTTAAGGGGACAGTGGTGAATGCCACAGCCCATTTCTGCCCAAAGGCAGATGTTTGTGGAGAAGTGGTGTCCCCTCCATCTTAGAGTGTCACCTGGTGCAATCCATACCCCTCGCACCCCCTAATGATGCTACTGGCCCCCTACTCCTTAACTGAAGTTGTTAGGGGGGGGTTCAGGTATGGAGGGAAGGGTCAGGAGGAGAGTCCCCTCAGGGAAGAAAGCGAGGAGGGTGGCGTTACTCACTGTGAGGGTCGCTCTTCTCCCGGACCCCATCCACTCTGCCATCAGGGTTGATCCGGAGGAAGAAGCCCCCATTCTTGCAGTAGAGCCGTTTCGGGTCCTTGAAGTGCCCTGGAGGGTATGTGCCACCACTGCCACCACCACCACCGTCGTCGGGCAAGGCAGGGAGGGTGGTGATGCCCGCCATGGCCCCTGCCATCCCAGGGGGGGCTCCTGCTGTTGCTGAGGGCTGCCCCTGAGGGGTCACCCTCCTGCTCCTCCCTTGGGGGGTTGCCGCTCCCACCCCTCGCCGGCTGGCTCTGCCTCGGCCTCGACCCCCCAGCCTCACCACCCAATAGCTGCCCCCGAGAAGAGTGGGCCAGGTGGGCACTGATGCCAAAGGAGTCAAGGGGGAGGAGGAGAGGTGTCCTTGGACAAGGGACTGAGCTTCAAGGATGGTCCCCTCTCCCTCAGTTCTCTTAGTTTCCTTAGTACTTAGTTCTCCCTCAGTTCTCTCAGAATTCTCCCACAGTTCTTTAAGTTCTCCTTGAGCTCTCCCACGGTTCTCTTAGTTCTCCCACAGTTCTCTGGGAGTTCTCTCAGTTCTTCTTCAGCTCCTTCAGTTCTCCTGGAGTTCTCCTGCAGTTCTCTTACTTCTCCCACAGTTCTCTTAGTTCTTCCTTAGTGGTCCTTCTGTTCTCTCTGTTCTCCTGGAGTTACCTAGCAGTTCTCTTAGTTCTCCCTCAGTTCTTCTTCTGTTCTCTCAGTTCTCCTGGAATTATCCAGCAGTTCTCTTAGTTCTCCCTCCTTCTCTCTGAGTTGTCTCTGTTCTCCTGGAGTTCTCCTACAGTTCTCTTACTTCTCCCACACTTCTCTTAGTTCTTCCTCAGTTCTCCTGGAGTTTTCTCAGTTCTCCTTCTCTTCTCTCAGTTCTCCTGGAGTTCTCCAGCAGTTCTTTTAGTTCTCCCTCAGTTCTCTCAGATCTCCCTCAGTTCTCTGGGAGTTCTTTCTCTTCTCATGGAGTTCTCCTGCAGTTCTCTTACTTCTCCCACACTTCTCTTAGTTCTTCCTCAGTTCTCCTGGAGTTTTCTCAGTTCTCCTTCTCTTCTCTCAGTTCTCCTGGAGTTCTCCAGCAGTTCTCTTAGTTCTCCCTCAGTTCTCCTGGAGTTTTCTCAGTTCTTCTTCCTCAGCCCTTTCAGCTCCCCCTCAGCTCCCCCAGTTCTGGCGCAGTTCTCTCCCTTCTCCCTCAGTTCTCTCAGTCCTCCTTCATTTCTCCCCAGCTCCTTTCTGGAGCTGCGCAACTCCAAGCTGGCGTCTCCCAGGAAAGGAAAGGAAAGGAAAGGAGCCAGAGGGGCTGAAGACTCCTTGGCCTCCCACTCCAGGCAGGGAGGAGCAAATGCTCCAGGAGGGCTGTGAGGGGCTGGGCGCTTTGGGGACCCCCCAGTCCCCCTTCTCTCCTTTCCTGGATAATGCAGAGAGGAGCTCCTGGCTCTTGGGCTCCTGGAGCTGGAAACTGGCAGGGATGATGGAGAAGCAAAGGACGCTCCCTCCTCCTCCTCCTCCTCCTCCTTCTTCTTCGCCTCCCTCCCTGTAACCCTCGCCTGCCCAGCCTCTTCCCCGCCGCCCTCCGAGGGCCATTCCCAAAACTCTTGCAGCAGAGGAGGGAACTAGAGGGACCATTCAACCCAATGGCTTCTGTGCTGGGGGGATGGAAGTGCCTTGGAGAAGGTTTTTTGCTGCCTGAGGCAGAAGAGCACATGGCAGCCTTTGCAACCATCTGGGTCTGGGTGTATTGTACCAAGTGGGAGGCTGGTTGGGCTCCTTGGGTCTATAGGAAGG